TCTATCTACACAGACTTTTAATTAATATGGCTCTAATAGAACCTTTCTCTCCAGGGGGGCCCATCTTTCCTGTGGGACCCACTTCTCCTTTAAGGCCTGGTTCACCTGGCACACCTGAGCAAGAAAAAAAGAAGCAGAAATTAAGAAACTGAAAAGACCAAAATCTCATTATTCATTTTCCACTTTGGCCCAATCCAGTAATTCTTGATCTATTCAGCTTCAGAACCTCCAAAATAAAAGTGTGAGAAAAAATCCCCCTATACTATCTGGTGACTCTGCAACAACTCAGTCAGTAAAATTAAAATATATCGGCAATACAGATCTAAGAAACTAATCTATATCAATAGACTGTTTGATTTATTTGATTCCTCCAAGATTTATGGCATTAGTCGACGTTATAGTTATTATCTTTGTTTTATACTTTTATTTCTGAAAGAGATCTTAAGATATTACAGTATATGTTCAACATTGGGAACAAATAATTGAGTACTGTTTCAGTTGTGAGCCTCTGTTTTCTTACTCTTAATAGAAACCAATAACAACAATTACTGCTCTATAAATACCACTGAAATTTGTCATATTCTTAAGTTTAGTTTTTCAATGCAATTCCATGCACAAAGATTCCGACTCCTAAAGGTTTTCTTTAGTTTCTTAAACTAACAGCACAAACCTGTTTTATATGCTATGATAAAACTGTATCAACCTTTAAAGGTCACCTACTTAGCAAATGAATTATTCATAAATTGGGTTGGGGTCATTAAGCCCAGGAAAGAAATATAGACATCCCTCTCACCAGGAAACACCCTGCCAGTATTCTGGTGGATCCAAAGGAGTTTTCTGACCACGAGGGATCATGGTTTCATCCAACATGTTCTGAGTCTTGCCCTGAGTGTCCTTCCATTAAAATGTGTCTCAAAAACGCAAATCAGTAACTTTGATGCAAAGGAGCAGAGACTGAACTTTGAGACACCCAAGGAGTGATGAAGTTTTCCCCCTGTTTCTAACCAAGAGTCTCTTATGTTTTGTTTTTTTTTACTCTTTAGCTCTTTCTTTACAACAACAGCTGTGGACAACATCCATATCACTGCAGTTTGTCAATTTCCAGCTCCATCCCGTGTCCAGAGCCTTCAGAATCTAATAAGCACCTGGCATCAGAGGAGCTTTTTAACTATGACAGTGACAAATGCCATAGTGACAGAGCTGTCTTGTCTTGAGTGTCCAGGCTTCTATTCCACTAAAGAGGACATGGGAGTCTGATTGAGGAGATCTTTAAAGTACTAAAGAGCTATATTCTCTACCCGGATCCACTTTCCCCAGTCAGACGATACATGGCATTGTTTCTAAAGACATAACAAACCAAAAAAAAGGACAAAATGGGGAAGAGTTACAACTGCATGAATTCTTTTGCAAGACGCAGCAGCCGGTATTGTTTTTCTTATAACTTTGCATTCAGACATATTTGAGGATAGAAAAAAACGTTTGAAGTGCAGTATAAACCTAAATGAGAACTTGTATAAGGGAGGACATTTGTGGGTGTGTGTGTGGGGGAGTCATACTGAGCAGAAAGAGGGTTTCTGCCAGTTTTTGAAATAGTGTTTCCTCAGGAAACTATTCAGCTGGAAACGTATGTTGTTTCAAATTCTAAGTGACATGCAGATGAGGCCAGATTGCTATCAGAGGCGTTTACAACACATGCACATCAACATGCACACAAACAACCCTTAATCTTAACCATACCCCATGTTATTCTTTTAACAGATCATCACAAATACAACATTTGGAACATTGTTCTTGATTTCTTTTTTGTATTGAATAGTTCTAAAACTTTTTTATCCCTCCCACAGTCCCTCCTTCTACCTCAGGGTTTAAGGAGATGCTTGTTAAGCTTTTATGAATTGCTATAATGCAAATCTATTTTATGCAAAGCTCCTTTTTTTAAAATATCTTTTAAAAAGTCGTTTTTATTCTTTTAAAAACTAAACTCTACTTAAAACATGCTTTTCAGGGACCCTCACAATCCTGAGCAGAGAGCTCTCTTTCAGAAGTGTTAATGTGTTTTTGTCTTTTTCTACATGAGGAAACTGATTTTGGCTCCTCTTGGCCGCTGTGTCTGTAACAGCGGATTGATGTTGTTTTCGCAGTGCATTAGCTTGCCAGTTTAACGGTCTGTGTGAGCGTCCAGATAACAGGCCTTTGTATCACTGCAGTCACACTTTATAATGGCCAACTCCTCCAACTGGTTTAACGACTGGAGTCTCCAGCTGCTGGTGGATAAAAGAGGTGAAGAGTACATTTCTCACAGCAATTGTGCAGCTTAAGACACAATTTAAACAACTTAAAAAATTCTGAAATATGTTGAAACATCAGCAAATAAACAAACCTCAGAAGAATTTAAATATGATCATTAATTATATATATTGTTTGCTCAGCTGAAGTACAAAATCTGACTACCTGGGGGGCTTTCTCATCTAATATACTTCATGAAAAATCTTACTTAAAACCAGTGAGAGCTCAGTTAGCAGCTATTTGATGATAATGACTTCAGACAAACAAACAGTTTTGTTTTTTTATGTTGCCTTCCAGAGCATTGAGAGTCATGGATTCCCTTTTAAGCTTCCAAAATTAAGCAACTGTTTCCTGTAACACTGCCTAAATTAGGACTGGGAATACATGCGTCATCTGCTACGCTGCTGACATGGTGCACTAACAAAATCATTGTAGGGACCTGCTTTCATGGATGTCAGTAAGTGTACGGACAGAAAAACCATAATGACAGGCTTTGAAAAACGTCCGTAAAGTTGAAAAGTTGAAAAAGGTTGTAGTGATCATACCTTCTCGGTTTGTTCCCAGTACTCACACACAGGCTTTAGGAGAGAAATATTTCATTCCTGTTCTTTGTCACTAGTTTAAATCATATTTACATACGCTGCATTAAAAGATGACTTTTCTTTCTATTGTCTGACATGGTATCTGTCAGTTACGATTTAACTGAGAATAACTCTAATCACTCCAAGATATTTCATTCAGAAATACTCTTTTTTCTTTCTTCTTTCTTGTGGTAGAATTGCCGTTTAACTGTGGGACTTTGGACAAACCTTTGGGTATCATTCTCATGCCTCTTAGCATGGCTTTCTAGAGTTTTGGCAAATTTTTTCTCCCTGCATTGGCATAAGTCTGGTTTGTAGGTTGCATTCTCATTTTCACTTCCTCTCACTCACAAATGTAGAACGAGACTGAAATCATGGTTTTGTAATGATCAGATAAAAAAAATGGACTTTACTATCATTAAACCATTATGTGACTATTTTGGCTAAGATAGTTTCTTAGAGTTATTGTCCAATTGTGACCAAGCTTTAACTACCCGCCTGACTTTCTCCCATATTTGCACATAACGTCCTTTCCTTGTGATGTCTCCTAATAGACTATTGAGGACATGCCTTCAAGAAAAACAGTCTAAAACTCTTATCAGTTTTAATTTGTTTTCAGAGACATATATTTTTCCCCTCTAAGTACACTGCAAAAACTATCTAAAAGTAAGTACAGATTTCTTAAATTAAGTGAATGTACCGTTAATCTCATTAGATAAGGAGGTTTGCCAATGGAATGAGATTTTTTAACTCTTGAAATAATATAACTACATAATATGCACTTTAAATAAGACAATGCAATTGTTTTTTTTTTCATATATTAAATATAAATTGTCTTGTTTCAGTGTGAAAAACACTATGTTATCAGGTTTAGCCAGGATCTTCACAAGATTTTATATTTTCATTCAATGGTTCTTTTACAAGTTTTCATCACTGGTAAAAACCTGTATCAAGTCCCTTATAGCAGGCATCCCCAACCTCGGTCCTCGAGGGACGCTGTCCTGCAGGTTTTAGAGGTTTCCTTGCTCCAGGACAGCTGATTTTAACTGAAAGCTGATGAACAGGCTTTTGGTCTACTGCAATCATTATAATCCGCTGTGCTAAAGCAGGGAAACCTCTAAAACCTGCAGGACAGCGGGCCTCGAGGACCGAGGACGGGGATGCCGCCTTATAGTATATGTTATCATTGGCCACTATGAATGTTGTCACAAATTTGTTACATACCAATTATTTTTTAATTAAATAGAAAGTTTAAAATTTTTAATTTAGCAACTAGTTAAAGGCAGACAACTTTTAAATATACACACATAAATATACATGTCCATCCATTTTTTGTCACGCTTATCCCAAGCGGGGTAGCGTGGGGTGCTGGTGCCTATCTCCAGCTGTCTACGGGCGAGAGGCAGGATACACCCTGGACAGGTCATATACATACATATATGTATATAAATTTAGGCATCAAGGTTCACTGAAATTGTAAATTAAAAGGCTCCACAGTAAGAATGTTTTTCACATGAGATCTTTAACAAATGGTTCCAAGGTATCTAAGAGAATATGAGCTGACTTTGAAGAAAACAATAAAAAAATCTTTACAGTAAAAAGATTAAATTTCAGTGATTCTATATGGCCACAAACATGAAAAGAATTGGCTGATAAATGTTAGATATGAGGAGAAAAAAGGTAATGGTAGATTTTGTACAGAAAGCGTTAATATCTTGACCTGTTTCTGGATATCCAAGTTTCCATTTGTTGCTAATTAAACAATATTACCATTCTAAGTGAGAACCAATGGATAAAATATGAAGTTTGAACTTTCTTGACCACTATCTAATACTGGTTTTGCTCTGTCAGTCTGTCTTTGTGTAGGTTTGTGTGTCCTACTAACCAAGTCAATATGTATCCAGAGGATGGTTATTGTTTATGGTTCTCAAGCCTACAGCTCAGAATTACAACCTGAATCTTGATATTATATCAGTGCAGAAACATTTTTCTAAAAGAGAAGGACAGATTTTATCTTTCTTGAACATACAAAACAGAGCAACGGATTCTTGTTTACTTCCCTTTTTTTCCTTTCAGTTGTGTCAGACATAATGCTTCAAACATGGTACTGCTCTTTTTTTATGCTTAGATTATCCTATATTCAAATTTCAATCTATGTTTTTGGTTGTCGTTTATTTTTCAGTGATGTTAGTTACAAGACGATCAATGCTAATTTTAATGAAACAACAGTATATAAAGGTGCTGCCTTTGGTTAAACAAATTAAAAAGTTTTTTCTCTTTAATTTATCAGAATAATGTCTGAAATCTTTAAAAGCAAGTATGGGACTAATATTTCATACCTGGCATTCCGGGTGGTCCATTCTTCCCAAGTTTTCCCTCCTCTCCCTGCGCTCCAGCCTCCCCTTGATCTCCTGAATTTTAATAGAGCAAACTGAGCTGTTATGCATTTATTTTTTGATGTCAAACTATCAGCAGTATGACATTTTTTATAACAACACATTCACTATTGTTGGTTAAGAAAGCATTTTAGAAAATGTATTTGGTCAATTATGTTTCTTTATATAAATTAATTCTAATGTAGGTTTTGTGATTGGTTCCAATACAACTTAATGTTCCAGAATTTTGATATACAGTTTTTGCCAAATGGTTCTATTTTATGGCAGTGTTATCACTGTGTTAAATTACAACAACTCTTCATAATTAAACCACCACTGAGATCTGGGAGAGATTCTTTTGGCAGGACAATGATAACCATGTATTCTGTAGGAACTCAGAAGATTATTCTCATGTACCAATTTAAGGTGCATCAGTTTCAATTGAGGCAAAAAAAATTATATATATATATTACCAAAGGTATTCATTAACCCACCTTAACCTGCACTACATTTTAGTGGCATTCCATTCTTAATCCATAGGGTTCATTATGACGTTGATTCACCCTTTGCTGTAATAGCGTGGGACAGAAGGACCCAGTATACAGGCGAGACAGACAGTGGTATAGTTCAAAGTGTTTATTTAAACAAACATAACAGAACAGATACGTAGAGCTGTAGATCTGTAGTGGCTGCTGGGGGAGGCAGGGCAATACCCATCACTGGCACTCTGGTTTAAGGAGAAACACAGGTTAGTGACCATGATAATCTGACGGAAGATGATTATCCATGTGAATCACTGACCTGGTTTAACAGTTCAGTTCATCTTCTCGGGCAAGGCAGGATCTAGCCGATGGACTGCCAACCAGATGTGGCACGGAGCTGTCCGGACTGCCCCCCATGCAGCAGCCTCAGTGAACAGGCAAGATGCCCAGCCAAGTCAGGGAAACAGTTCAGAACAGTAAGGCTCAAAGATCCAGGAGCCCACAACCCGGCAAGGGGTTCTGATCAGAACAGACAGATCCAGGGTTCAGGAATCCCCAGAGCATTCAGGCAGGTTCAGGGTTCCATGAGTCCAGAGAGAGTTTAGGCAGACAGGCTCAGATGGAAACAGGCAAGCTCAGCAGTTGAGAGGCAGAACTAGACACGACACAATCAGGTCAGCTATCAGGGCATCGATCATGACATTTTCAGCTATAGGAGTCTACAACAGGGGTTGGCAATTCCATATCCTGAGGTCAGGTATCCTGCAACTTTTACATCCATACTTGTTCCAACACACCTGAATCAAATGGCTGAGTCCAGAGTCCTTCAGAGTCCTCTCAATTATCTAATTACTTGATTCAGCTTTGTTGAAACCTAAGGCACATCGAAAAGTTGCAGGATACTGGCCCTCAGGAACTGGAATTGCCCACCCCTGGTCTACAAGGATCAGCAAGATGTTTGAAGGATTATTCGGGAGGTACATTTGTGAGTTTGTGAGAAGACCTGGCTCTTAGTCTCTGCCTGAGGTCAGGTGCAAGCCGGTAAAGGGACTATCACCAAAACTGTTCTCACAGATTTGGGAGCATTGGATATTCCCAAAAGCTCTTGTTATGCTGAAACATGTAGAGCTCATTTCACCAACACTAAGGTCCTAGCTCAGCTCCTGAAAAAAACAACTCAATAAGCTTAACTCCCTCAAACCAAAGTTGGCACACCAGAGAATATGTATCATTAGCTCTAGAGTCCAATGGCAACATGCTTTAAACAGCCTCAACTGATGCTTTGCGCTTATTGATGTACAGTTTGGTTGCAGCTGCAAGCACTGTTTTGAGGTCAATATGGAGGCTGAAAAAGGTTTTGAGATCTGCAGTGACTATAGAAAGATGGCGAACTCTGCATGCTCTGTGCATCGGCATCAACTGACCCCAATCCATCAGCTTACGGGGTCTAACAATTCAAAACTAACTTTCTGCTTTTGTTCTCGTTGCTATAATTATAATATCATTAAAAACTAGGAGAAAATATATAGAAGTGAAGAAATTTCACAACTAGACCCACATAAGTGACAACTTGTCACATTCTCACACGGGTTGACCCATTCTTTTACTGGGACTATGAAACATTGGGACACCTGATTTAAGTTTGAAGGGTGAGAAATACTTTTAGCAAAATTATGCAACAATATTCCCTATTCTACGTGCTTAGCGTGTGCCATGAAACTAAATTCCCTTATATTAAATTCATAGCACTTTGCTAAATATTTAATACCCATTTATGTTTTTGTTTTTCACGATTCAGCCATGAATTTTAGTGTAATTTATTCAAAATGTCAGCTTTTCATGTACTCTTAAAATCAGCTCTATTTAGTAAAAATAAATTCAGTTCAGTTTATTTAAAAAAAAAAGAATGTTTCTTAAAATGTCAATAAAAAGTAATTGTTGAAAGAAGTTGAGCTACATCAGGAATGCAGCAACCATGCTGTAGAGGGTGCTGTATTCAGACAAGAGCAAAACTAACATGAATTTCTTATAGGCAAATCCCAACATGGGGTAGAAAACCACAGCAAATCATCCTATGGTAAATGGTAAATGGCATGTACTTATATAGCGCCCTTATTCAAGTTAGGAGACTTGACCAAAGCGCTTTACACTACATTCATTCACCCACTCACACACTGATAGTGGCAAGCTACATTGTAGCCACAGCTGCCCTGGGGCTCACTGACAGAAGCGAGGCTGCCGTACACTGGCGCCACCGCGCCCTCTGACCACCATCAGTAGAACCGTCAATCCTTCCATTTCAGGGCAAACTCCTACATCCAACGCCACTGTCGCCCCCTATCCTACACATATTACACATTACATATGGAGGATGGACCTAAATGCTGCTTCAATACATCCGTGCTCAAACAAGTGAACGGAATTGACAAAGACTCCTGAATCAAAGCGTCTTCAAAAAATTGAGTGAAAGTTCGGATGCCTCCCAATCTAAGCCTGTTTGTGGTTACCATGACCTGGATGATGTTTTAGTCACTTAGTTAAGTTATGTTAGTAAAAATCCTTCTCTAGTTCTGCAAATCCTGTAGAGACATATCCCAAAATTCTTAATTTAACAGCCTTGACTGCAGGGAATAGTAGTGTTAAAAAGTACTAGCTCAATAGCTATGAATGGAAGATTTACCACACTTGATTAGTAAAAAAGTCCAAAATAGAGTAAAATATATTTTATTAAACAATTCCAATTGATTGTCATTGGTTCATCACATAAAATCTCTTCAAAATATGTCATCAATCAGCAACATTGTAAATCTAATTCTGTAGAACAAAGCTGATTTTCATTTTAATCTTTTATTTTTCTGTTACACATTTTTACCAATGGTTGAAAGGTTTCCAAATGTATTTTAGGATATAGTCAGACTACCAGTAAAAGTAATAAAAAGTGTGTTTGTTGAAAAGGATTTAAATAAATAAAGCGTTTTTTCGGTTGTATGGCACACAGAAAAATGCACGTCCGACGCCCACTCAGCTATTCAGTGGGAGACTGACTCTGTGGTCACTAGTATCTGGATGATTCTTGTACAAATAATCAGTTCACTCTTGTGGCAGCTGTCTAAATACACACTGACTCGATGGGACTTTCTAGCCTGTATATAAGGGGAAGATTACGAAAGTGTGTGTGATGATACGGTTACCTCTTTTTAATTTTTTACATGACAATAAGTTTGCAAAAACAAAGAGCAAAATTGAAACAGATTTGCCCAAAGTACAACAAAGATAAGATATGATATATGTCTTTTTAAAAATTTTTTAGATTCTTTCCAGCTTAACAGTTCCTTGAGAAAATCCTTGCTGGTTTTTACTTCAGCCAGATCTACAAGCTTTGTTTTTCACTTGTGAGAAACAGCTTTGAAAAAAACAAGGCCTGAGCTCAACTTTGGATTTTATAAGGTTCTGTCTGTCTCAGTCAGCAGGATAGCAAGCTACTGGATGTTGTAAAATAGAAAACACACACAGGGAGGCATTCCCTACTAGATAATATACTCGCAGACAGCCAGCTTGTAAACTACAGGATATTTAATGCTTGGTGGGTTTATTGTCTGCTTAGTAAACCTAAAATGTAGCGGGGGTTCCTCCACAGAAAATTTTAGTCATGGAGATATACGCTATTGTTAGGAATAATCTTTATCATTCATAAAAAGACTTGTTTGTTGAAAGCAAATGTTTTAATAGTTCCTAGCAGTATGAGCACATACTGAGTCTAACCCTGCATCCACCCTAACTCTGCTACAAACAACTGATATTTTTCCCACTTGTTTGCTAAAATTTCATTTAAAATGAAAATAAATAATATATATTTAAATGTATGTCTTAGCCTACCTTTAGCTCCAGGTATCAGGGAGTTTGTGCAGACTTCCGGGGATGCAAAGATGAAGCAGCAACCATAAAAAAACAAAAATAGCCTAAATGGACGAGACATTTCCAAACTGCGGCAGATTACTGAAGTTGTTCCTGACTATTTGGGTTTGTTTAGCATGTCAGAGTGCAGTATTGTGGATAAGAAGCTATGGTAATTAGAAATACCTCATACTGCAGAGAAGAAGACTGCACATTTGTTTACAGAGCAAGCAGATGCATTGGAACACAAGCAGCTTCTTATCAGGGACTTGTCAAATAACACAGAACAGACTGCTGCATTCCTCTGCATGTCTTCCCTGCTTGGATTTTACACTGTTAAAAAGATGGTAAATTAAGACTTAATAAAACTGAAGAATAAACAGAAAACACATTTCATGAGACATGTAAGCTTTCCATTTCATATTGTTCCAATGTGATTGCTGTTAAAAATTTATTTCAATTTTTTTGCGGCATAAATATCAATTCAATGTGTTCTACGCAACATTAAGGATCATTAAACTATCTGCTTTCCAATTTTTCATGTACTCTGATATAAATGATTTATATTACTATGGATTATGAGGGATTTTATGAAAAGAGGCTCAAATACAATTATTATTTTTCTCTAACATTTATTAGAAGTTTAGAGAAAGGCAACCAAATAAATAGGTTTAGTGGCTCAATCTAAATTGGAAATAAAAAAAAAAACATGGTTTAGAGCTGGCTTTAATCTTCTACTGGCACAACAGAACAGAAAGAGTTTCTCACTGGCTTAGATGTATCTGCTAACCTTTCAGAAACCACCCTGTATTTTTACCAAAGTGGTTCCCCCATCCCCCCGTGAATTCACACAAATTGCGACGATTCATCTTGCTTGCAAGCTACATATAAAGGCACATTCAAGAGTTATTTTAACAGTTAGTGATGCAAATGACATGTTTTGAGCAGAGAACTGCAAAAAGAGAAAAGCAAAATGTTGCTGGAGTTAAAAAAAAATCTGAACTTTTCTGTCAATCTGATGTGGTTGAAATGTACACAGATAGAGCTTCTTTAAGTCCCTAGAGCTTGATCCGTCCCCCGCCGCAGCACAGTAGCTCCTGCTACTGGGACCTGAACAGATGAAAGCAAACGTCCAGCTAAAAACCCCTGAAGCAACTGGTGGTACTGGCTAGACAGGGGGTAAATCTAGTGGACCCAGCTCTGTGACTCACTTTATTAAAATCAAGATCTGATAACGTCAGTTGAACAGATAACAAGAAGTTCTATTTAACCACAAGGTTAAAAGATCTGGGTTGAGTTTTACTGCGTTATTTGCATTGTTTGCATTTCAGCTGCAGGTTGTTTGTGAATATCAAGTGAACAATGGCAGTGAACCGCACTGAAAATTCATAGTTTGTTTTTGAAGTTTAAGAATAATCTCGCTTTAGGCAGTCAGTTAATGGATCCCCTTCACACTCTTTATCATATTAACTATCTCATAAAAGGGGAAGTTTTTTTTTCTAAATGTGGCTATTACAACTCTTTTGAAAATTTAACCCTTAGTTTCCCTAATCCAAATTGCAAAGCAAGAAAACTTCTTATTTTTTTAACATTGTATCGTCCAGCAGGTCTTTACTCTAAATTTTTAGATGAGTTTTCAGAGTTCCTTTCTGATTTTAACATCCATGCTGGCTTTGTTCAAAATGTGAATAGTCCCGCACATTCTCATCTTCATACTTTGGATCTTGTGCAGATATATGGCATAGAATGGGAAAAATAACAGTATTTCCTCACAAGCCTGTGCTTTCTGACCTATATGTTATCAAACAGAGTTTAATACTTTAACAGCATCTGAGGTAGCCATAAATTTGAACTGGGTTTAGACTGCTGTTAACCAGCAGAACTTTCAGAGTACTAAGTGACAAACTATTTCTTCATCTAAGCCTTCCACTTGTATGTTAGATCCAGTTCCAACCAGGTTATTTAAAGAAATATTCCCTTTAATCTCATCCTTGATTTTAGATGTGATTAATCTATCCCTGTTACAGGGACATATACCAAAGGCTTTATGGTTGCTGTAATTAAACCTTTACTTAAGAAACTGTCTCTTGACCCAGATGACTTGGTCAATTATAGACCTATATCCAATCTTCATTTTTTATCTAAAATTCTTGAGAAAGTAGTTGCCAAGCAAGTGTGCGATCACTNCACATTCTCATCTTCATACTTTGGATCTTGTGCAGATATATGGCATAGAATGGGAAAAATAACAGTATTTCCTCACAAGCCTGTGCTTTCTGACCTATATGTTATCAAACAGAGTTTAATACTTTAACAGCATCTGAGGTAGCCATAAATTTGAACTGGGTTTAGACTGCTGTTAACCAGCAGAACTTTCAGAGTACTAAGTGACAAACTATTTCTTCATCTAAGCCTTCAACTTGTATGTTAGATCCAGTTCCAACCAGGTTATTTAAAGAAATATTCCCTTTAATCTCGTCCTCGATTTTAGATGTGATTAATCTATCCCTGTTACAGGGACATATACCAAAGGCTTTATGGTTGCTGTAATTAAACCTTTACTTAAGAAACTGTCTCTTGACCCAGATGACTTGGTCAATTATAGACCTATATCCAATCTTCATTTTTTATCTAAAATTCTTGAGAAAGTAGTTGCCAAGCAAGTGTGCGATCACTTACACCATAATGAAGTTTTTGAAGAGTTTCAGTCTAGCTTTAGAGCTCATCATAGTACTGAAACAGCTTTTGTGAAGGTTGCTAATGATATTTTCATGGCTTCAGATAATGGACTTGTATCTGTACTTGTCCTGTTAGATCACAGTGCTGCATTTGATACAGATGATCAGAATATTCTTTAAGAAAGACTTGAATATTTTGTTGGAATGAAAGGAACAGCACTACACTGGTTTAAATCTTATCTATAAGATTGATTTCAGTTTGTTCACGTTAATGACAAATCTTCCTCAAGGGCTACCTGTGGAGTACCACAGGGATCAGTGCTAGGACCAACACTAAGGTCCTAGCTAGGACCAATTCTCTTTACTATATATATGCTCCCAATTACTAAAATTATTAGGGAGCATGGGATTAATTTTCACTGTTATTCTGATGATACCCAGCTATATCTGTCTGTAAATCCAGATAAATCTAACCCATTACATAGATCACAGTCATGTCTTCAATACATAAAAACCTGGATAAATCTTAACTTTCTGCTCCTGAATGCAGACAAAACAGATGTTATAGTCCTTGGACCAGAGTCTTTGAAAAAGAAGCTGATTAGTCAATCACTTCAGATGGATGGGATTAAACTGATTTCAGATAATGAAGTAAAAAATCTTGGTGTTATTTTTGATCAGGACCTGTCATTTAAATCCCAATCAAAGAGGTTTCTAGAATTGAATTATTTAATCTGTGAAATATTGTAATTAAAAATATCCTGTCCAGGGGTGATGCTGAGAAACAAGTCCATGCATTTGTTACTTCAAGGCTGGACTTTTGTTTTTCTTTACTATGAGGAGGTCCACAAACTGTAGGTAAAAGCCTTCAGCTAAGTTTTGATGAAAATTAAACCAAGAGATAATATCTCTCCTATTCTAGCTTCTCTTCATTGGCTTCCTGTTAAATCAAGAATAGAATTTAAAATCCTCCTTCT